TGACTGTTCATCTATCGAACTATCTGCCTTGAGCGAAGAGGAACCCGGACGAGGCTTTGCTGAATAGCAAAGTTTCGTTCGAGGAGGTAGACAGTCCCTGAACCCGTTTATACGGGTTCAAAGGGAATATTTTTGGCCGAGCCTAAGGGGGCGGGAAACCACAATAAACCCGCCTTGTGCCACATACGACCCACGTGGGAGGGGCCGTTAAATATAACAATCGACACGCCGTCTCTGTGTGCGATTTCTGTCGAACTCTCTGCTTTGGCAGAGACGAACCCGGACGAAGCTTTGCCGAAGGGCAAAGTTTCGTCCAGGGGGATAGACAGATCCCGAACCCGCTTATGCAGGTTCTAAGGGAGTATTGTTGGCCGAGCCTACGGACTCAGAGAAAGCCACGTTAAACTCGGTCTTGTGCCACATACATTCCTCGTAGGGGGGGGGACTGTTAAATATAGCAGTCGGGACGCAGTGTAATCTGACAGTTCGGCCTTTCACGTTTGTGTGCCAAGCGTATCTATTACTACAAGAATTACTTCAGCAGTCAGATTCCAGAGCATCTAACCAGATCCTTCTACTTTTTAAATCTTTTCAATTTCCTTGTAGTTCATTGTGGGGTACAAATATATGAAGACCAATGTACCCATCATGACACCCTGACTGTTAAATGTATAACACGCGCATACATCATAGACAAATGCGCGCAAAACAGTGACAGGTTTTGATAAAAGTGACGCGTAGCCATGCAGATAGGGTCCAGTAATGAATTACCTCGGTTCAAGTAACCAAGTAGAAAAATCGCCGACTAAGAGTGCTCCAGCGTATCTTTATGTGACCCCAATGTCGCCTTTCCTGTTTCATCGTTCAGACTTAAAAATAGACTCTGGTAACATCTAGGCATGATGTTCCTTAAATACTCTGCTCTGTTTACCAATCTCCCCACAAGGCAAGTTATGGCACAAACACAGTTTTTAGTGTGTGTGGGGGGGGGGCGTTCTGAGCACGTAGGCTCGGGCAAAATTTGCCCATAGACCCCGTATACAAGTGGTCGTGTTTGTCTACCTTCCCAAACGAGACTCTGCTCTTCGGCATAGCCTTGTCTGGGTTCCTCTCCGCCCGGGGACAGAGAGTCCGACAAGAGAGGAAGAGGAAGAGAAACCTCCCCCTCTCTCCCTAAGTCTCCTCCTTCGTACTTATGCTCATGAACAGAAGACAAATACATGGTCGACTGGTCATGGTCAGGCAAGTACCAAACAAATCTGAAGTAAGAGAAAATATGTATATGTTAACACTTTCAATCAGATACGAGCCATGAGAGCCATGTAGCATCAAGACATTCATTATTATTATTATTATTATTATTTTGATTTCTGTTGTATCATTCCGGGTACCAACCAGAGAGGTAAGGTCAGTCATAAGAAAACATAAATAGGAGAATTTAAAGTAAAGTGCAAGAAGAAAAATTGCCAACGTGTAAGTAATGATATCGTCTTACCATTTTTTCTATTCCGTTTCTAGAATAGATAACCATTTGATGCGTGACCCTTTTAGTCATTTTCACTTTCAGCTTCACTGCAGCCATATCATTGTCTGAAAACCACGCCATTAGTCAGTGAAGGGTCGATCACATCCTGGGTTGTCAAGAAGAACCACTTGAACGATTCTTGTCTAGATGAGAACATGTCCTTCTATTTTCTTTCACTTCCTTATTTCTATCTCTCTTTTGAGTAATTGCGAAATATATTTTTACATTCCCAAGTTTTATATCTGTATTTTTTAGGCCTTTTTGAAAACTTGTCAGTAATTACTTTGCAAGAATTACGTTTTGTTCACATCTTTAAAACCTTTCGACAATTCCCTTGCTTTTTCTTTCTCGTCTCTTTCTATTATGTTTTTTACCTTGAATTTCTTCCAAATAGTTTCTTTTCTTCATGATTTAGAAACAATATTCATGCTAAAATATTCTATATCTCACACACACACACACACACACACACATACATATATATGAAGAAATATAGTTTTAAGGTGTGCTATATTTATGGGATAAAGTGCTCAATATCAGAGATAGACCGTATGTAAATATAAATATAAAAGTGAACATTGAAGTCAACACTCAGAAGCGACAGGCTGTTTCATGCTATACTCAATCACCAGGCCACGAGTTTTGGATTTTTCCTCGGCTATTTATATAAATGGGTCAGTGGTGCATTGTGGGTAATCTGTTCTGGTGGTTATTTTGGCGGGAGTGGCTTCTTTCTTTATTTATTTATTTTGGTTAATTTCTTTTATTTCTTTTTATTTTCATTTTTTATTTGATATATTTATTTATTCTTTTCGGTTTTCTATCTTTTATAAACGTAATAAACAATTTTGGCTCGGATGATTTGCTTAGGTTGCTTATTTAATAGTTTGTTTTGGTCTGGGAAGATAAAGCTATTTATTCGTCCAATACGTGCGTTAATAAAACAGAAAATCGAAAATATATACTTTTTTCCATTGTGTACTCTTTTTGGAATTTCATATTTTTTGGGTCGTGAATTTATTTATAATACACATACACACACAGACACACACACACACACACATATATATATATATATATATATATATATATATATATATATATATATATATATATATATACTGCCATCCACAGACAGACTGTTGCGCTGTATCACAGCTCATCAGTGTGGCTAGACATCCGGTTGCCTCTAGCTAGGATCAAAACCCGACTGAATTGGCGTCAGCCGGAGATTCTACCAGTAATCCGTAATATGCAATTATGCTGTTTTAATGTTAATATAATGTCAACGTTGGACGTTTCGGCCTAGTGACCATCTTCAGAACATATTCATAAAACATAATTAAACATCAGACTATATTTAATTCAACATGAAAAGATGATGGTCTATTAGACCGAAACGTCCGACGTTGACTTTATATTAATATTAAAACAGCATAATTGCATATTAGGATTTTTGTTGTTTTTTCCGTATATTTTTCTTCATACTGTCGGATCTATATCCATATATTTGCTTATATATATATATATATATATATATATATATATATGTGTGTGTGTGTGTGTGTGTGTGTGTGTGTGTGTGTGTATATATATATATATATATATAAGTGGACATATATAAAACTGTGGACACTGACGTGAACACCCAGTAGCGACAGTCTGATTCATGCTTATATATATATATATATATATATATATATATATATATATATATATATATATATATATAATGTAGTATGTGTATGTGTGCGTGCATGCGTGCATGCTTGCATGTATCATTCCTTTCATGTCTATCTGTGCGTGTACTATCGTGTGTTCTTTTGTATTTTGTGCTATCAAAGATATTTATTCTGGAAAATCAGAAATTGTACCAATATTCTTGAAATTATTGACCGCAAGTCCCTGCGTTTATTTCTCTCGAGGAATTCTTTGTCGCCGAAGAAAAACAATGGACGCTAACCGTGTGTAGAAGCCATTTCCATCAGTAGAAAATCTGAAAGTAGTCGACCGTCAGCTTTTTGCTATCCCATCAAGCAGCTGGGCTGCTGCTGATTTCTTTACTCTCAGCAAATGTTTGTATTCTCCAGCGTCTTCTATTGATGTATGAAAGACTAAGTAGGCTTTGACACCCAACAGAATTAACCTGTCATCGCTAGTTTCTAAGAGACATGTTCTGCGGAAACACGCATTGTATAAGAAGGAACATTACACGCGGGCCATGTTTCCTTAGATCTTGACGTTGAAAGAGAGCATAGAATATAAACTCTCTCTCTCTCTCTCTCTCTCTCTCTCTCTCTCTCTCTCTCTCTCTCTCTCTCTCTCTCTCTCTCTCTCTCTTATACGCACTTAGGAGTAGAAAATATATTGTTTATTATACTCACAATGTTTCGGTCGTTGCAAGAAGACAATGCATGGTCATCAGCGAAAATATCAGTCCAAGATACGTCTTGCTCATGTGTCCGAACGCCTATCAGAATTCTCCCTGCCTCCTATCAGAATGGCTGATGCCCAACCCCACGAGAGCGTCAGTCTGCGCCTGTTTGGTCTTACGCTCTCTACTGACCTGAGGTGTAACAACGACATTGAATCAATGGCCTCATCTACCGCAAGGAAAATTGGTTCTAAGTATCGCGACAGAAGGTTTTTCTTGCCTGAGTTCATCCTTCAAGTCTACAAATCTATCGTTCGTCCTTGCATTGAATACTGCTGCCATATACGGTCTGTTGCCCCCGTTCTTCATCTAGAGGTCCTCGTCATTATCTAGAGACGGATAAGCAATGTGATGGCTTCTAATCTAGCAGCCCGTCTACAGTCATTTTCTCACAGGTGTGCTGTGGCTTCCCTCTGTTTTTCTATAAATATTTTCATGTCAACTGCTCTGACGAGCTACTTTCACTGGTACCCCAACTGCATGAATTTAAGCGTGCTATTGGGTTGGTATCTCGGTCCCACCCTTTCACTGTCGAAACAGTTAAATATAAAGGCCTCTTCTACTTCAACAGCTTCTTCTCTTGCACTTCCGGAGAGTGGAACTCCCTTCCTCCTACTTGTTTCCCTGATAGCTATAATCTTCAAATATTCATATGTAATGTCAATCGACATCTTCTGATGCCTTGACCCGAATACCCGTCCTTCTCTATATCCATTTCTCAAACACACATCTTTACTCTCTCTCTCTCTCTCTCTCTCTCTCTCTCTCTCTCTCTCTCGCTGTGTGTGTGTGTGTAACCCCTTGCATGCTAGGGGCACTTCAGCCTTGCTTGAGGTGAAATGCTTAAAAAAAAAACATAGGCAAAAGTGGCCACGAGTCGGGTGTTGACATGTCTACAAAACAGCTTGGCATATCCAGATATGAGCCTCTCTCTAATTTGTCCAGATCTTTGTCAACGGTTTCGTCCCAATAAAAGCAACGGAAAACCAGCAGTCAGCGTTTGTTTTTGCCGAGATTCCCTTTGCGATCGTGAAAGATTCAATGTTTTGTGAAGACCTTCATTTGGCGCATTTTTTCTGGAAGTTACGAACAACCCGCGTGGTTGTGATTTTTGAGATAGTGGCCTCACTCGTCATTATTTATTTTTTCAAATTCTTTCTCCTCTCTCTCTCTCTCTCCCCCTCTCTCTCTCTCTTCTCTGTCTGTTCCCCCCTTAAATGCTAAGAAAACAATTTGTTACCTGTTAAGTAATTTCCCCAGCCTCAACACACTATTGCCTTAATTTTATTTCAAGTATAGATATTTAAAAATACGTGAAGTTTTAAACAGACGACGGAAAATGTGAAACGTAAATCCAAAGCCCCATTAGAATAACGTAAGATAGCTTCCAAAACTTAAACACAAAGCTTTGGTAGTAATTCTCTTGAGAAAGGCATAAATACAGCATTTCTCCTACTTCTTTGGATGAAATAGGAAGTGCAATGGAGCTCTTTAGCTTTACTAGAGAACTGATTCTCTTGAGAAAATCGTGAATACAGTTCTTCTCCGTCTAGATCTGGGTGAAATAAAAGGGTATACTGAGCTCTTTAGTCTTGCTAGATTAAGCGATATTAAATTCAAAACCAGTCAGAAGAGGGACGGAGTTCGTCAGTTTATCTTTCCCGAAACGCACACATTATTAATGGGGTTAGGTATATATAGTATTCCAAGAACTCTACAATGAGTTACGCGTTTCATGCATGTCTGAATGTAATTCTCTACAGCAGGTAACTTAGACATTTGTAAGTTTAAAATGACGAAGCATTAACTCATTAAGTTAGTAATAGAGAAGTGATTAACCTCCCATGTTAATCGTTCAGAGAGACAATGTTACAATGGGATAAATGTGATACAGAGAAAGTTAGACAAACAGAAAAGCATCGATAACCTATTTTACATAGCATCAGTTGTTATCGACTAATAAACGGACTTGTTTCATTAGCGTGATACGTACGCATGCACTAGATATTATGTTTTTCCACGAGAGTCATTGATTGAGTGATTCGTTTTTTACGGCTTATCAACCATTTGCAGATTATTTAAAGCCAGAAAATGATTTTAGATTTTAAGAAACTTTTTTAGATAACAATGATTTAAGGGAAAAAGTCTTACTAATTAATTCATAGCTGAGGAGAGAGAGGAAGTGGATTCATACTACCAAAATAAAAGGACCTTGAAATCGAAATCTCAAAAAGAATTTCAAGAATTTCAGTTGTAGTTGGAGCCCTCAGATTGATTGGAAAATATTCCAAAAGACACAGTGAAGTGATTCCTCGTATCCCATGCCTTAAAGAAATACAAAAAATTGTTCTCGCAAGTACAGCCCAGATCCTATGAAGGTCTTTTATTTATGTAAAATGTGTGTGATCTTAGGTGTGATCTTTTTTATGTTATTTTTCCTTAAAAATGCTCAGTGAAAATGTCATATATATATATATATATATATATATATATATATATAGTGTGCATTCAGTAATGAACAACAATATATATATATATATATATGTGTGTGTGTGTAAAAGTAGGTATACAGTAATGAATAATAATATATATATATATATATATATATATATATATATATATATATACAAAAGTATATATTCAGTAATGAACAACAATATATATATGTATGTGTTCAAAAATAGGTATACAGTAATGAATAATATATATATATATATATATATATATATATATATATATATATATATATATATAAACAAATGTTTGGAGTACAAAATTTATAAATAGTTTTAAAAACTAGGGAAACCATTGATTTTAATATTAAAAGTCTCTAGAGCCCTTTCAGCCAACATCTCATCAGGAGACAATCGTTGGATTAGCGAAATGAATAATAGCGATATTGAAGAGCAAAAAGAGGGGAAACACACTAAAATAACGAACAAGTATATATACTTGTAACGAGGGAAGGGTTATCGTGTAAATAAATAGCGAGGACAGTTAAAATAAAATATCCCCAACAGATTCAGAGACCTTATAAATTCTTTCTGCCGGCAGAGAGAAGGTTTTCTAAATCCTATACAGACCGATTCAAAATCTTCAAATGGTTATTGGAATCGGCTGTATGAATAATTCTAAACCACTCTTTTTTATACAACTTGGCACAAGCTATATTCTCAACTAAATGTTGAGCAATAGCCGATTCCATATTCATGGGGGGAAGATAGCATATTCTATCTATCTTACCAAGTCGTATTTTGGAAGGAACGTGCTGATTAATTCTAGTTTCCAAATGCAAGGTTGTACGCCCCACATAACCAGCAGCATATATACTTGTTCGTTATTTTAGTGTGTTTCCCCCTCTTTTTGCTCTTCAATATCGCTATTATTCATTTCGCTAATCCAACGATTGTCTCCTGATGAGATGTTGGCTGAAAAGGCTCTAGAGACTTTTAATATTAAAATCAATGGTTTCCTAGTTTTTTAAAACTATATTTTTAATATATATATATATATATATATATATATATATATATACAAAAAGTATTTATACAGTAATGGAAAACAATATATACATATATATACAAAAGTATTCATGCACTAATGATAAACAGTATACACACACACACACATATATATATATATATATATATATATATATATATATATATATATATATATATATATAGCTTTAATGTGTGCTATATTTATATCGCTCTATCTCAATATCAGAGATAGAGGCGTATATATATATAATATAAAAGTGAACAATGAAGTCAACACTCAGAGGCTCTGAGTGTTGACTGCAATGTTCACTTTTATATTTATATTTTATATATATATACATACATACACACAAAACTATGTATACAGTAAAAAAAAAAAAAATATATATATATATATATATATATACGTTTTATATATTTATATATATATATATACTTTTAGTGTATATATATATATACACTACAAATATATATATATATAAATATATAAAATGTATATACTTACTTATATACACTACAAGTATATATATATATAAATATATAAAACGTATATACTTATATATTACTTCCCTCTCCCTCTACTTTCTTTTTCCATTTTCTTTTCTCCTTTCTCCCCTCCCATTTCAAAATATCACTTCCGTTAAGTTAACCGTCTAAATAGGTCAAGGCCTGGTGACTCCTCCTCCCCCAATACAAAGTATGCTTGAGAGAGATATGAAATTAATCCCTCCCTAAACTCTACCATGTCTCTTTAACTACTCCTTTTACACTCTCTGTTAAATTACAAAAACTTACACTACCTAACAATTTTAATTTCATTTTTCGTTTCATTTCATTTTTGGAAGTGCTATCTGATGATCCGGCGTCCTTTAAAAGGGCTCTGTTGAAATAAATTATTATAATGGAACCTTAACTTGGTCTGTTTTTCTTTTAAATACTAGCTCTGGATTTACATTGAGCTCTCAGGATTTCATCCTCCTTGGGATTACCCATAGGGATTACCAAGTTCTTCATAACTTACATATATATATATATATATATATATATATATATATATATATACTTTTACTGTATACCTACTTTTGCAGACCCCTGTACAAACCACGTACGTAATTTTGACTATTCTTTTGTTAGTAATAACATTAGAAATGTCTGTATAAGACTAAACTTGCTTTATTTTAATAAATAATATTGAGTTTATTACACTAGAAGTAATGAGTCATCCTGTTTCGTGCCGGCTTTGTTTTGCTTTTTGTTTCCTCCTTTTCTACCTCGATTGTGCTATGTGACTATGCAGCAATAGTGTTGATATAATACAAATAGCTCGTTGGAATACCACGAATTTTTCAAATAAGAAAACATATAAAACTATGAAGTAATCATTTCCTCTATTCAAAGGCACAAGACAGAATCTGGGTCAGATTCCATAATCACCAGGCCAAAAGATGCACATGTTCGTTGTGTGAGAGCACATTTTTAGACAACAGAAAGCTCTGTAAATCGCGTAAAAAAATTAAGTTTAATTAAATACTATCCTGTATATTTCACATTAAGCTAAATCCAATATAGATATATGCATGAAAAGATAAGTACAAATAAGAAACGCTTATAAAACTAGAATTATGGTAGACATATACATGTGAATTATATACACTAAAGCTGTTTGAGGAGAATGAGACACGTGGAGTCTGATTAAGAAATTAAAAAAAAAACATAATATTAAAAATAGCAGAATTTTTTGTCTTCATATTTCATTCTCTGATGAAGTTTTTACTAAAAGCGAAACATGTTACAAAAGTTTTCAATTTGTTCCTCTTCCTATCATTCTGTCAGATTCAATCCATATTTCATCTATTTTGATCCCAAATTATATATATATATATATATATATATATATATATATATATATATATATATATATATATATATATATATATATATATATATATATATATATATATATATATATATATGCATACACACATATGTGTGTGTGTATAGAGGTGGGTAAATCAAATAACTAGATATTAACAAGCTTATATGCTCACGTTAGCGTACATAAAAAGTTAAGCAAATAAATATTTACTAAATTTGCTTTAATGTGTAACGAAAACAGTGCTTAATATCGTTAAACAGAAATAATATACCTACATATATACAATATATATTAATAAATATATAAATATACCTACGTATTTATAATATATTAATATATATTAATAAATACACATATACCTACGTTTTTTTAATTATAAGTAATAATTCGTACCTGTTGAGTTGGTAGAACAGCGAAACTTATTTAATATATATATATATATATATATATATATATTATAAATTAACAGATTTAAAATATGGTTTCCTCGCTACACAGAAATTACCATGTTTTCAAAAACCGAAGCAAAAACTTAAAATTTAATTATATAATTAAATTAAAAGCATTAGTTCAAAATTCGGTTGAAGATGAAACAGAACTAATGCTTTTAATTTAATTATATAATTAAATTTGAAGTTTTTTGCTTCGGTTTTTGCAACATGGTAATTCATGTGTAGCGAAGAAACCATATTTTAAATCAGTTAATTTATAATATTTATGCTCTGTAAATTTACATTGAGCACTGTTTAGTGAAAATAAAAATACCAATTAAGAACACCGGATTATATATCTTACAGTTCTTTCTTTTTATTATAATATAT